TGTGTTTTTCTTCATCTGCAAGATGAACGTGCAATTTTTTGCAAGATGAAGATGCGATTTTCTTCATCTGCAAGATGAAGGTGCAATTTTTTTGCAAGATGAAGGTGCGATTTTCTTGCAAGATGAAAATGCAATTTTCTTCATCTGCAAGAACAAGAGTCCACAGCTGCTCTTAGGCTTCAGCGTAAGAGGAGCAGGACGGGCTGCGTTTAAGCCAGCTGCAGGCGGCTGCTTTCCATAGGGACCTGCACTTCCAAGATAGGACGCTGCTTAAGCTCCTCCGGGCACCTGCACCCGGAGCACCCATTGCAATCTCTGCGAAAACCAAAGGTGGCAGAAAACGGTTGTATTTTCTGTGTGGGGAGGTGCCGTTTGCAATTTGCAAAGGAGGAATTTATTTATTGCAAAGTGAGGATTTTCAAAGCCTCTTGATGTTTTCTGTCCTCGCTGCTTGAGTTCTGCGACATCAGAAATGGTTTTCCCGGCAACTTCTGCAAGAAAAAAGTGCCAGATGCTTCCAATCTTTCTGGTCTCGCATAATGAGTGGAAGGGGAAAAAAAGCAGATAGGAAAATAATTAAAAATCAACATAGGGGAAAAGGGAACTCTGCAAGCTTCTCTGCATGATTGGTTTCTTATGTTCCTCCCTGGGTTTCTGCTATTATTGGAGGTAGCTCCAGGTGGATCTGCGCTTCTCCTGGCCTGTTCCTTGAGCRTTTTCTCCTTTCTAGGCTTATGCACCAGCCTCCGAGGAGCCGAGCTCTGCAATGGGACCGCRCTGCCACTCACCTTGGCTCTTTGGTTCTGGAACCAGACCTGGACCACGCGCACGGTCAGGCCCGTCTCAGCCGCCAGGGTCTCTCTCACCTGCCCACAGGACGAGGAGGGGACGGGGAAGAGAATTAGGGCTCGGCAGCACCCAAAGGGATTCGGGGTGCTGCTTGCGCCCGCTTGCTTCCCGCTACCTTTCTGCAAGGCTTGGAGGAGACCTCGAAGGAGGCCTTGAAGGCTCGCCGCTGCTGCGTGGTGAGGATGGTGCGCGGGCGCTTGGAGCGCTTGTGGTCCTTGCTCTCCTCGCCGCCCTTGCTGTGCGCGTGGCTCCCGTCCTCGTCCTCGCTTTTCACTGCACGGCGAGGCCAGGAGCGCCGTTAGGGCGGAATCATGGAATTACGGAATCGTGGAATCGCAGAAGAGTAGAATCGTGGAATCACGGGATCACGGAAACATGGAATCATGGAATCACGGGATCACGGAAACATGGAATCATGGAATCATGGAATCACGGAAACATGGAATCAGAGAATCACAGAATAAGAGAATCATGGAATCACGGAAACATGGAATCATGGAATCACAGAATAACAGAATCATGGAATCACAGAACCATGGAATCACAAAATCACAGAATCACAGAATAATAGAATCATGGAATCACAGAACCATGGAATCACAGAATCACGGAATCACAGAATAATAGAATCATGAAATCACAGAACCATGGAATCACAGAATAATAGAACCATGGAATCACTGAACCATGGAAACACAGAATCACGGACTCGCAGAACCACGGAATGCTCAGGGTTGGAAGGAACCTCTAGAGATCACCCCGTCCCACCCCCTGCRCACGCAGGGGCACCCAGAGCGCCTGGCACAGGCTGCGTCCAAGCAGATCTGGAAGATCTCCAGGGAAGACGTCTCCCCAGCCCCTCTTGGCAGCCTGGGCCAGGGCTGTGGCACCGTCAATGTCAAGGAATTTTTTCTCAAGTTCTTTGGAACTTTGGGGGCTTCAATTTGTGGCCGTAATGAYGTAATGTGACCTAGAGACACATCTCACGCAATGAGGTTGGAAGGGACCTCTGGAGATCATCTAGTTGAACCTTCCTGCTGCAGCAGGGACACCCAGAGCCTGGGGCACAGGGCGGCATCCAGATGGAAGACCTCCAGGGAAGGATCTCCAGTCGTTCTCTCCAGAGAGSATCTCCAGCCTCCCAAACCCGTGGTCCCTACGCCCCCACCCCACCTCATCGCCCACCCCGAGCACCCTTCCTCACCGGACTCGGTGGGCGCGGGGCTTATGGCGCTCAGCATCTCCTTCTCCTTCTCGTAGTCGCTGCGGCAGAGCAGCTGGCCCTCCTTGAGCACGAACTCGTCGCCGCGCTGCAGCCGCCGCTCGCACTCGCAGCAGCAGAAGCAGTGCACGTGGTAGACGTTCTCCAGCACGCGCATGATGAGCTCCGAGGGCGCGATGGCCTTCAGGCAGCTGCTGCACTTGGTCTGGAAGAGCCTGCGGGGCAGCGGCCGGACGGGGCACGTGAGGAGGAGCGCGGGGCTGAAGGCCAAGCTATAGCCCCCTCAGTCCTATACTGGAGACCTATAGCGCCCTCAGACCCGTATTGGAGACCTATAGCCCCCTCAGTTCTATACTGCAAACCTATAGCCCCCAGACCTATATTGCAGACCTATACCCCCTCAGACCTCTATTGGAGACCTATAGCCCCCTCAGTTCTATACTGCAAACCTATAGCCCCCAGACCTATATTGCAGCCCTATAGCCCCCTCAGTCCTATATGACAGACCTCTAGTCCCCTCAGTCGTATATTGCAGCCCTATAGCCCCCAGACCTATATTGCAACCCTATAGCCCCCTCAGTCCTATATGAAAGACCTATAGCCCCCTCAGTCGTATATTGCAGCCCTATAGCCCCCTCAGACCTATATTGCATCCCTATAGACCCCCCAGACCTATATTGCAGCCCTATAGCCCCCTCAGTCCTATATGACAGACCTATAGCCCCCTCAGTCTTATATTGCAGCCCTATAGCTCCCTCAAACCTATATTGGAGACCTGTAGCCCCTTCAGTCCTGTATTGCAGCCCTATAGCCCCCAGACCTATATTGCAACCCTATAGCCCCCTCAGTCCTATATGACAGACCTATAGCCCCCTCAGTCGTATATTGCAGCCCTATAGCCCCCTCAGACCTATATTGCATCCCTATAGACCCCCCAGACCTATATTGCAGCCCTATAGCCCCCTCAGTCCTATATGACAGACCTCTAGCCCCCTCAGTCGTATATTGCAGCCCTATAGCCCCCAGACCTATCCTGCAGCCCTATAGCCCCCTCAGTCTTATATTGCAGCCCTATAGCTCCCTCAAACCTATATTGGAGACCTATAGCCCCCTCAGACCTGTATTGCAGCCCTATAGCCCCCAGTCCTATATTGCAGCCCTCTAGCCCCCTGCCCCACACACAGAGCTCTACGGGGCCGTTCTGGGCTCGCGTCCCAGCCTCGTGTTGCTTGGTCTCAGACCTATATTGCAGCCCTATAGCCCCCAGCCCTATATTGCAACCCTATAGCCCCCCCAGACCTGTATTGCAGCCCTATAGCCCCCAGCCCTATATTGCAGCCCTATAGCCCCCTGCCCCACGCACAGAGCTCTACGGGGGCCGTTCCGGGCTCGCGTCCCAGCCTCGTGTCGCTCAGTCTCAGACCTATATTGCAACCCTATAGCCCCCAGCCCTATATTGCAACCCTCTAGCCCCCCCAGCCCTATATTGCAGCCCTATAGCCCCCTGCCCCACGCACGGAGCTCCACGGGGCCGTTCCGGGCTCGTGTCCCGGCTGCCCGGTCCCAGGGTCAGGGCTTTCCTGGGGCCCATCCGGACCGGTCCCTGGGGCGGGAATGGCCCTTGCCCGGGCGGGGGGCTGCTCTTGGTGCCCCCCACCACGGCCATGGAGAGAAATAACCCCCCAGCGCCCGGAGCAGATGGTTCTGATGAAGTAATTTGGGCTCCAAACAAACGTGAGCGGCGCTGGCTGCCGCCTGACAGCTTCTATTTAGCCACTTGACAAGAGAAAGTAATAAAACGGGGATTAATTAGGCTGTTGTTTAAACACCCCGGATCCTCCCCACCAGCAGGGAACTCATAAACTGGGATTGAGAACAAGCCTGGGTTAATCCTCCCGGCAAACTCGGCGGAGCAGCATGAAGGGGCTTACGGGGTGGGCTCAGCCCTTCCAAATACCAGCGTGGATTTAGGCCGGGCACTGGTTCCAGCTGCGGTGCCTGGGACATTCCAGCTTGGAACGGGCTGGGATTTGGCTCCCCTTTGTGTGCGTGGGTGTTTGCGTGCGTGCTCCTCTCTCCTCGTCTTTGTCTTGCTGTGATTCACCCTTGAAAAATCATAATTGAGTGCTGGGTGAGAAAGCTGGGGGTAAAACCAGCCTTTTAGGCTGTCTCGCTAGCTCGAGGAGCGACTGGGAGCCTGTTCTASGCCCAGCCCTAGGCCAAATCTAGGCTGGGTCCTAACTTAGCGTTTTCCTAACACCAACATCCTTCTGTTAGGGCAAAAATACAGGGGGAAAAAATGGGCATTCCATGATCATGGCTATCTGGGATCAGCTGGGAATATGGGACTTATTACTCAGCATTAATGTCCCAAAGCCGACCCCATCCCTTTGGGAAGGCTTCCTCAAAGCCGAGCCCATCCCTTTGGGAAGGCTTCCCTAAAGCCAATCCTATCCCTTTGGAAAGGCTTCCCTAAAGCCAATCCTATCCCTTTGGGAAGGCTTCCCTAAAGCCGACCCCATCCCTTTGAGAAGGCTTCCCAAAAGCCGACTTCTGGCTTATTTCTCACTTAGGACTTGCATTTTCCTGCCTGGACCTCGCCATGCCTTTACCTGGTTTTTAGAACTACTTTTTATTAGTTCTGCCAACTGTGGGAAGTCAAASTATTCTTCCATCAGACTTTCTGCCCTTCGTCCTCCAAACAATCCTTTTAAAAGYGAAGAATTCCCTGTTGCCTGGGAATATTTCTGCCCCCCAAAGACAGAAATACTTGCTGCTGTGTATATTAATGTATAGCTGAACCTATGACACGAATATCATTCCACTTGGGGACAAGCCGCCCCCCAATTCCCACCCGCTCCATTGCCATTGTTAGGAGCCGGTATTTAGCAAGCCTGGCTTAAGGATGGCGGCGTGCACCCGATTCCCTCCCGTAGGGTTTCTTTGCAGCGGCGCAGCTGGAATTCACCCGCGCTTTGGGCATCGCAACCGTGCAGCCTCCGCCGCCCCGCAAACAAATCCGCGCCGCTTGGCGCTAATTGAAGAAAACATCCAGCAAGCAGCTCATAAACACGGTGTCAGCTCGCATTACACAAAATTAAAATTCTCGGCCCCTCCAACGCCGGGAATTCCTAAAGAGGCTGGTTTTAATATTGCCCGAATCCGTTTAAGTCGAGGTAATATTGTTTGGGTTGCCATAGGAACGCGGCGCGTCTCCGTCGCCGCTCACGGGCAGGCTGTTGGGAAGGAACGACATGGAGACACAAGCCTAAAACCGGTTTTATTCCCAGGTTGGCGGCGGCGAGCACTAGGAACATCCATCCCGTGCACGGAGAAGGGAACGGCACGGGCAGCAGACGGAGAACGCCAAAAAAACGGTTGCAAACTGCACATAAACCTGATTTGCTTTGGATGGGAGGACCCATCTCCAGCTTCACCTCCACGGTTTGATGTCCCTGCATTTCCCCTAGAGTTCCACAGTTGACCCAATTTTTGACTAAATCCCCACACTCCCACATCTTCACCTAACCCCTAAACCATTTTATTTATTTGCTCCAGCTTCACTTCCACGGTTTTATATCCTTCCATTTCCCCTAGAGTTCACAGTTGACCCAACTTTTTGACTAAACCCCCACATCTTCACCCCCCAAACCATTTTATTTGTGTATTTGCTCCAGCTTTACTTCCACGGTTTTATATCCCTCCATTTCTCCTAGGGTTCCACAACTTTTTGACTAAATCCCCACACTCCCACATCTTCACCTTCCACCCCAACCATTTCATTTGTGTATTTGCCTCTTGCAGACTTCCTTATAGGAGCTGTGATAAGGCCACTATTATTATAGCAAGCAGAGGGAGGTCTTGTAATGCACACACAGATTTATCTCCCACCTCTTTTGCACCAGTTTGCTGCAAATTAACGACTTTTCCAAAGGGCAGAACTCTGTTTTCCTGCTGGGCAAGGGCTCCGCTTGGTGGAACAAGTGGCAGGAGAAGGCAGGCAGATGGGCTGGTAAGGGGAGCATCGTTGGGAATTGCAACGACGGTTTGCAATTGCAAACTTGGTTTGCTCTGGAGCAAACCGAGCTGGGCACGGAGAGCGGCCTGGGACCACGGGCACCGTTGTTATGAGCCGCTTTCTTGCACCGTTGGGCCCTGCAGCACAGGGCAGAGCAGCAGCTTGGCAATGCCCAAGAGAGYGCAAGGGCATCTGCACCACACGTCAGCTCCGAGCCCGCACGTGGCACCCGGGGAAGGATGAAGACATTCTGTAAAAAACAGGGCTTCTTTCCATTATCCCATTCCCTTCCTCTAGCTACAGCTTCAACCAAGTCTCCTTAGTCTTTTTTTTTTTCTTTAACCATTGGCAATTTTCTCCTATAACAACAGTCCCCAGTGAAACTGTTGGGAAGAGCCCRGAAGAATTCATCTTTCCCTTAGAAATCCAGTAAAGCGCCTAATTATGGAGTGATGAGAGGAGGAATCACAACCAAGGGCTCAGCAGCGTCCACCTCTGCTTTTTGCACCAGGGTGCTGAAGAGCAAGGACTCGCTCTAAGGTCCCTCTGGTTCCTAAGGGTATTTTGTGGGGTTCAACCAGCTTCAAATCATGACAAACCGCCCCAGTTCCTATTTCTCTGCCGGTCTTTGCAGAGCATCCTCGCGGATGGTTTTGCCGGAGCGACCGCAGCCCGGCCGGAGGCTCTGCGCTCCAGATGCTCCAGTTGAGCAGCGCCAGTTTGGGAGCTGCCCTGACCCACACCGGCAGCGCAGACCCTCACCCAAGCCTGGGAAGGGGATTCTGCAGGGCATGCAATTGCACCCATGGGATTAAAAGGTGTTAATGAAGCGCCGAGGAAGCCGGGAGGCCCGCGCTTCACGGAACTGGCTTATTTAGTTAGGGTTTAGTCAAAATGAAGCAGTCCGGGCTTAAGGAGGGGCTGTTTGCTTAACATTGAGCTGCAGGATCCATTGGAGCCGCCTGAAATATTGAAGTCGCAAAGCCTCTTTCTGCATTTCAGACCAGGGATGGGGATGGGGATGCATGAGGGAGAGCGGCACGGCGCAATGTCCTCTCCCACTCCCCACCAGCATCGCCAGGTGCCCCCATGCAGTGACACCCCCTGGCACCAGGCGGGGAATTTYCTTCTGCTTAATGTGGGAGCCCTTGCAGAGCAGTTGGGTCAGGCCAAAGGGGGTGATTTTGGGGGGTTCTT